TCAGTATTTATTTATATAATATTGGTTTTTATTTCTAAAGAGTTAAGAATCCAGAAGTTAAAATGTGGGATGAAATAAAAAGCATTTCAAATAAAAAATATATAGACATTATAAAACATCCAGTAAAACATATTTTAAAAATTAAACATCTTACTAAAATAATGTGAAATAAAACTAAAGTTTTCAAAAATAAAACTAAACTATAGAAAAATAAATTAATGAAAATTATTTTATCTTTCTGTATAAATTATAAATATTCAGATATACCAAAAAGTTACAAAAATAATAAATCAAATTCCCATATTTTTTCCCCAGACTTGTCCACTGTTAACATTTAACTACATGTGCATTTTTTCTCTTTCTGGGTATAGGAATACATAAAATACATACAATATACATTCTTATTCTTTTCTTCTTTTTACCGAACCATTTGAGAGTATGTTCAAACATCGCAACTCTTTAGCGATTAATACTTCAGTGTGTTTTCCTAAGAAAGCAAACTCTTATATAATTAGCTTATTTTTCAAAATTAAAAAATGTAGTATTGCTAAAATATTATTTAATATATAGTCCACTCAAACTTGCCAATTGTTCCAATATTGTCTTTGATAGAAGCTTTTTCCTCCCAACTCCAGGTTCATACCTTGTATTTATTCAGTGTGGACAGGTTCATGAAGACCACCACAGCACAATAAATATAACTGAAAAGACTCACAGAGCTAAAATTTTTAAATGAACAGAAATAAGTATTATATGTTGACTTGATAACAAAGGGATATGCTGAGTACTTACTGTACAAGGCACTGCTCTAAGTGTTAACTAACTAAACCTCACAATGATCCCATGAGGAGTTTATTATTCTTATCCTCATTTTATAAATAGAGAAAAAAAGGCAAGAGGTTAAGTAACTTGCCACGTAAGGTCATATAATTCTTAAGTGTTAAAGTAAGGATTTGGACCCAGCCTGTCTGGCTTGAGTCATTCTTTTATCCATGATACAGTGTAGACTACATACCAAAGGTTGAGACAGGATAAGGCAAGTGAGGCACTAATTTTGAGGGCAAAATTTAAGGTGGCACCAGAAAAACTTTTCAGTGATCAAATATTTTAAAATTAGAATTAATGCAAAAATTCCATGATAAACACAATTTCAAAATTTAAATAAGACAGAATTTGAATTACTGATTTTTCCTTTTTGCCTAAGGTTGCTATGTGACTTGACATTGTCAGTAGTCCTGTTTTTATTTAAAATCTTGAGCTCACTTACCTCATTCCCCTATAGCCTGCTATATTCCCAAATAAAACCCAAACCAAATTTTTCCTTTATGTTAAATCTTGAGGTCCAATCAATGATTGATTAATTTGATCATAGTAGTAATTACTGATAAATTACTGATACTATCTTTCTGAAACACTTAAAGGCAAAACCATTCTATATTGAATGCATATTAATATATACAATGAATATTGAACATTCAAAGCATTCACATGTTAGGGATGAAAAGAGAAATCCATTTTTGGCAAAAGAAAACTCTATGCTTAGCCTTAGCTGCACTATACTTACTTTAATGAATACTCCCATATGCATTTAACAAAAGTTTATTGAGCACCCACTATAAGCCATGTCTAAATAAGGTGCTCCAAGTATAATGAAATGATGAGATGGAATATTTATACAAGGAAAGGGGGAGCAGAATAGAACTACTTTTTGGTACATATCTAGTGATGAGGTAATTATGGGATACATTTTCTCATTTAATCCTTACTTTGTAGAAAGGAAAACTGAGGCTCAGAGAGATTGTGTAATTTGTCCAAGGTCATCCAGCTAGAAAGTGACAGAACTAGATCCAAACCCAAATTACCTGATGAAAAAGAAACCCCATATGCTATTATTATAATAAGACAATTCAAATTTCTACAAAGACTCCAAAACAACCTTGAAAACATTTATAAGAGGGAAAGTAAAAATATAAAACTGCTTACTAGACTAAAACTATGTAAAATATTTTTACATGTGGACAAAGAGTAAAAGGAAATCATATGTTAACTGTAGTTGATGGTAGCATGCTTTGAAGATTATGCAACACAATAAAAGGTATAGTAAGTAAGAAATTAGTTTAAAATGAACAAAAACTCTAAGTGTCAAACTTGTATTTTTCACTGTGTAAAATGAACAGAAAAGAGTTCTATGAATGTATGCTTGACAGTGAGATTGAAGACTTACAAGATAGACTTTAGTTATGATTAATCTGAGCTCCCACATCCTATGAGGTCAATGGTTGGTTACCACCAATATTCCACAACAACAAAATGCTATCATTAAACATGACCTATCCAAATGCATAACTGGAAGTAAAAGTTGGAAGTATATACCTATAATTTAACCAAAGGTCACAGCATGGTCACTGAATGTAAATAAAACAATTATATAGTTTTGCATGTTTTTTACCATATGCAGCGGCCATGTACTTTCTTTATATTAATGGCTTTCAAGTTACTTCCTATTTAAGAATACCAAATTCTGACTTATATGCATTAATACACAAACTTGCGTGGTGGAACATGAATTCCAATGATTTCTTAAAAATCTTAGGTTTGAGGGGCGCCTGGGTGGCTCAGTGGGTTAAGCCTCTGCCTTGGGCTCAGGTCATGATCCCAGGGTCCTGGGATCGAGTCCCGCATTGGGCTCTCTGCTCAGCAGAGAGCCTGCTCTGCAGCTCCCCCACCCACTTACTTGTGATCTCTCTCTGTCAAATAAATAAATCTTAAAAAAAAAAAAAATCTTAGGTTTGAGAAGTGAAAAGAAATAAAACATTGGGGAGGGAGTTATCTAAATTGGCAGTATTTTACAACAAAGACAATAGTAGTTTCCTAAACCTTGACCTTATTCAGTCACAATATACAGTCATGTGGTCTGAGACATGTTCAACTAAAAATGCAAAAATATTTTTTAAAATAGCAAATTAACCATAATTCTAGATAAGGTACAAGGGATAACTATCACTATCTTTCCAATTTCTAAGATAGGTGGTGCCTAATATTTGGTTAGAAAAATCTACAAAACTACTACCAGCTTTTGTTAAATTACAGTCGATAGAATGTATTTGCAACTTTAAGAAATAAAGCATCATTTTAAAGAAAGTTAGTACTCACTTGATAATCATTTCTCTTAATATTTGGAACATCCATGTTGTGAGTAGAAGGGCAAATATCTTCATATTTTTTGCCGGTGAAAATATCAATTCCAACAAGGTGAACCTAACAAAGAAGGGAGAACAGGAAACCTGTTATCTTTGCCAAGTATATCACTCATTACATACACATAGCACAATACCAAAGCTGATTATGACAGATTCTTTCTCCTTCCAAGGTCATCTAATTTTATTTTCTTAAAAATAAAATGCAGTGGTCATAGAATTCAGAAGCAGTGAACAACTAAACACTTTCGTGACATGCAGAGACCCAGGATCATATACAGCCCAGTAATTCAATTATAAGAGTGCATAAGAGAAATGAAGTTAATGTTAGAACAGGATTTCTCATCTATAAACTGAACAGATATTCTAAGTCACTAGGATTCAGGAAAGTTTCAGTTACCAGCTAATGAAACATTGTAAAGGCCCAAAAAGGAAATGCTACCTTTCAGTGTTCAAAGCAATAGCTGGTCACCCCGGAATTGTGGTAAGAAGAAAATGTAATTATTGCAAAGTTATAAATATGGAACTCTCATGTTCCGTACTGGAACACAAATGATCAAAATCCCAACGCAAAGAGATCTGGAAGGGCACTTACCTTGGCATGACCGTGCTTTCCAGTTTTGGAAGTTGACATCTCCACTATTTTGCATGGTCGTCCTTTGAGAACCACGAAGCCGTTTTTGCGCAGGGCCGAGCACTGCATAGGGTAAGTGCTGGAAGCTCCAGCATCTCCAGTAGTGAAATCAATTTCATCCGCCATGGTAGGCTGGGGAGATGGTAGCTTTTCCGAGGGAACTACGCAAAAAGTTTGTTTGCTTTTTAACAACGGGAACGCAGGCAGAGAAACATCGCATCTCGGGCAGGTTACGTTCCAAGCATCATGGATCAATAGATTTTTTCATTTATAGAACACCCACCCAAGAAGAGTGGGCACGTTCTAACTCCGGCCTCTATAAACTTTTCCAACCATTGCTGGAGAAGTGGGGAGATGGGGAGGGAAGTCGCAGATGAGCTCGCTGGGGGTGAGGGGGATACCCGCCCTGGGCACTCACCCGCGCTGGGGGCAGCAAATCCCGGCCCCCATTGTCCCACCGAAAGAGAAGCCGGCGACCTTCCCGCATCGCGCCGCGCCACCCGGCCCTCCGCCGCCGCCCTGATCCCACTGCGGGGGACCCAGCCCAGGCCGCACGTCCCCGCGAAGGATGGGGATAACGGGACCTAGCCAAAAGCACCTGGCCCTCTGGCAGCGGGCTTGCATTCCGCCCTCCAGCCTGCCGTGCCGTCGCCCCGGCCTCTCAGGCGCCCCCTTGTCCTGCCGGCATCCCCGGCCCAGCCGGGCCCGGCCCCGCGTGGGCCTGAGCCCTAGCAGGTCCCGCGCTCGCCTCCGTTTCCCCAGCCATCCTTCCTCCTTCCCTCGTTCTGGACTCGGCGCCCGCCGCCTTCTCCGGCCGCCTTCTCCGGCTCTGCCTAGGGCCGGTCCCGGCCCCCCAGCTTTCCCCCTGTCTTCACCTTTCAGCAGGTTAAGAGATCCTTTCGCCTGCGCACCGGCGCCGGTCCCCTACAGCTGCGGCGGCGGCAGCAGCGGTGGCGGCCCCGGCAGTTCCAAGAGACGGGGCGGGGCCGCCACACTTTCCACACCCCGGCCTCCCCGCCCTTTCCCGCCCCCACCTAAGTCCCACTTCCGGGATAGGTCCCGGCGCGTCACAGGCACCGCCCCCTCGGGCTACCATTGGTTACAACGTTCCTGAGGCCCCGCCCAGTCACGTGAAGCGCGCCCTGGCAACCCCACGTGCTGCGGATTAATGCACTTCCGGCGTGAAGAGCACTTTCTGGAGTGCGGTTGCAGAGGGTGAACTCAAAGGTAAGTAAGCTTGTACCTCAAACTTTTGGGTTCGTTGCGCCAGGGTCCCAGTCGAAGTTAGCTGGAACCAAACTGCGCGCTTGGTGGCCCTTGCCTTCAGGTGCGTGGTGGTTGTCGCGCGACTGTTGTCAGGACGCGCGAGGCACGCGAATTCAACGGGTGTCCCGCGGGATTTATGGAGGGAACTTTGGGGTCGAACTTCTGGCCCAGGTTGGTGGTCGAAACCACACTTGCCCCTCGAAGAAGAGACCAAGTGCAGTATTTTATTACCGGCTCTGCCCCAGCCATCCATGAGATTCTGGCAGTAACTGCCAGTGGGTGCCTGGGCAGGGTCACCAGCGCCCTGGGGGGTGGGAACTGCTGAGACATCCCCGAACCAAATAGCAGCGTGAAGTGACCCAACCCATTCCTCACACTAGGCTGTTGTGGAGCTGTGGACGTGAATGGGTGTCCGACTCCTACCGTATAGTCGCGTCCAGAAACTCAGACCAGTACAGTTCCGATAAATTTGGCTCTTCTTTCCTCTCGGCACTGGCATTTCTGTGAGTTTTAGGTATGTTCATACTCCATTAGAGCAGTTGGGTTGTCTTCATAATCTACCAGGAACCATAGAGACTTGACTAGGATTAAGTACCAAGGTTCTGAAAAGAAATGCGCTGCTTTATGTTCCATTTCACAATGCACTACATTCTTCTTTGGAGAGGTGACCTACACTCCCCGGTGTATGTGGTCCTGTAATTCTGAATTGCTGTCTCATGAAGAGTCAGCCCCCTTTCTCGCATTACTGTGTGGCTCACTGGTTTGGACAGATATTTCACACATACGGAATTTAACCTCTATAAGAAGCAAGGGAACTCTCATAAACCGAATTCAGCCTGTAGCTAATATTTAAAGAGTCAAATTAGAACACTGGTTCATGAGTTCATTCAGCTTTTCCTTATACCTCCTAACTTTTCCCTGTCTAGTGTTACCAGAATGATGGCTAGCATTTATGTGAGTGGGTAGGGCATTAAATGTTTCATGTGCTTTATTCTTTTAATCTTAACTCTTACTCTTTTTTTAACCTCAGGTTTAGTAAGTTATAATTCATACAAAGTAGAATTTACCCTTTTTAGCTCTGTGAGTTTTGAAAAACATCGACAGTTATGTAACTATCACTATAATCAAGATAAACAATATTTGCTTCATTCCAAAAGTTTCCTCCTGCCTCCTTGTGGTCAGTCCCCTCTGCCCACACCCAGCCACTGGCAACCATTAACAACTACTGTTTTAATGGTCAGAAAAAAGCAGAGAAAAGTAATTTGCCCACAATCACACAGTTAGCAAATCAGAGGGCCAAGATTGAACTCTAGGCAGTTGGCTCCACCATCACTGCTTTAACTAATACCATTACTGCATTTGCATAAGATTTGGATTTGGAATCAAATGATATGGCTTCATTCATTCAGCAAATATGGTAAATTCTAGTGAAGTTGCTGGAACACTGAATCAGCAAATACTGAACCATTGCTCCTAGGGGAAATGCAGTTAGGTTCCTGTGAGCCTCTGGTCATAACATTTTTGTCAACTGACCAATACATAATCTTGTTTTATGTGTGTTTTAGTTTAAGAACACACAGCCAAGAGCCAAGAGCACTATAATTTCTCCGCAGGAGCCTATCCAACACATGTATTTTCTCTATAAGACACATCACAGCCTCTTGTGCTACAAAATACTACACAGCATTTTAGCACTATGCTCCAAGGCCACTTTAAATAGCCGTGTCACCAAAAGAAGTTACAAAAATGTGAGAAGTGGCACTAATAGACTGAAAAGAAACACTTGTTTAATTTGACAGCTGTAATAAGAAGGCAGTACATCACCTCATTTGACCGCAGCTAGGAAAATATACATTGAATGGCTTGTATCTTTTGCTGTTCTCTGCTTGTCCATAAATGACTGTGAAAACAGTGCTAGTACTGATTACAAGTAAATTGGATGCACAGGAAAATTTACAAATATGAGGTCTATGAATAATGGGGATTCACTTTTTTATTTTAGTACCCTTAGCACTGAAATCACCATGTTAACAAGACAGCCCCTTGTTCATTAGGTGCTTGTAGTTTCCTACAGGATAAAATTTACCATAACACATAAAATAAACACTACTAAAGAAAAAAACTACAGGGTATTGAAAAAAGGGTCTCCTCTTCATCTAGTCTAGGTGTGTCCAATCGAAATATAATGTAAGCCACATGTAATTTTGAGTTTTGTTATAGCTACATTAAAAAAGTTAAAAAAGATAAAAATAAATTTCAATAATATATTTTACCCTTTTTAGATTAATTAACCCAATACATCCAAAATATCTCATATGTAACCAATATAAAATTATTAATAACATAATTTTATAATTTTGTAAACTGAGCCTTCAATCTCCTATGTAGAGCACATCTCAATTCAGGCTATCTGTATTTTAAGTACTTGGTAGGTATTTATGACTGGTGGCTATCTCATTGGACATCACAGGTCTAAAAGATTTCAAGACTGCTTCTCTAGGACTGAATATATTAATCTGACATGAGAAAAATGAGTAGAAAGTTAGCAGTGAGGAGGGCTTTGAAAAAGGGCATTTTAGCCAAAGGGATTGGGAGTACAAAGACTTACAGATGAGAAAATCGTGGCATTATAGTTAATATCTTAATGGTGAAAAGCTGTAGGCTATGCCTCTAAAATCAGGACCAAGACAAAGATACCCACTCTCACCACCCTATTCAACATAGTATTGGAAGTACTAACCAGAGAGATTAGGTAAGAAAAGTAATAAGTGGCATTCATATTGGAAAAGAAGTAAAATTATCTCTATTTGCAGGTGACATTATATTGTGTATAGGAAACCCTAAGATCTCTACCAAAAAACTATTAGAATAAATGAATTCAGTAAAGGTACAGGACAAAAAATTAATGTAGAAGAACAGATGTGTTTCTGCAACTAGCAATGAACTATCAGAGAAATTAAAAAAATGATCCATTTATAATTGCATAAAAAAGAATAAAATATTTAACAATAAATTTAACCAAGGTGGTGAAAGACCTATACACTGATAACTATAAGATGTTGTTTAAAGAAATTGAGGAAGACACCAATAAATAGAAATATTTTCTGTGTTCATGGTTTGGAAGGTTGAATATTTTTAAAATGCCATACTACCCAAAGCAATCTACAGATTCAGGGCAAATCCTATCAAAATTCTAATGGCATTTTTCATATAAAGAGAAACTCCTTAAATTTGCAGGGAACCATAAAACATCCCAAGTAACCAAAATACTCTTGACAAGAACAAAGCTGGAGGCACCACACTTTTTGATTTCAAACTATATTACAAAGCTTTAGTAATCAAAACTGTATAGTATTGGCATAAAAACAGACACATAGATCAATGGACTAGAGAAGGATCCAGCAATAAACCCATATCTGTATGGCCAATTAATTTAGAACAAAGGCATGAATATACAATGGGTAAAAGATAATCTTTTCAACAAGTGGTATTGGAAAAACTGGGTAGCCACATGGAAAAAAATGAAACTGGGCCCTTATCTTACATCACACAGAAAATTAATTCAAAATGGAATAAAGATTTGAACATAAGACCCCAAACGGTTTCCATTTGCAACACACAGATGGACCTTGAGGACATTATTCTAAGTGACGTAAGCCAAATGGAAAAAGACAAATACTGCATTTAGATTCATTATGTGTGGAATCAAAAAATGTCAAACTCATAGAAGCAGAGTAGAATATTATTGCCAGGGATTGGGGAGATGGGGGAATAGGGAGAAGTCGGTAAAAGGGTATAAACTTTCACCTATACGATAAAAAAGGATCTAATGTGTAACATGGTGATTACAATTGATAAAACTAGATTGTATGAGAGTAGAACTTAAATGCTCTCACCAAAAGAAAAAACCCTCCAAAAAACCTAAGCTTGCAAAATGATGGATATGTTAATTCATTAGATGGGAGGAATCATTTCAGAATGGTATGTATGTATATCATATCATCATGATGTTGCCTTTAATTTTTTTACAATTTATTTGTCAATTATACCTCAATAAAGTTTAAAAAAAGAAGGTAAAACATCTAATAATGTCTTATATTGGTTACATGTTGAAATGGTAATTTGGATATGTTAGAGTAAATATATGTCATCAATTTCAAAAGAATTAGATGGGGGCAAATAGGAACAAATAAAGAGATTTATTTTAACCATATCAAAAATTACATTAAATATAAATGGATTAAACATTCCAATTAAAAATAGATTAAACATTCCAATTAAAAGGCAGAGATTATCAGACTGGAGAATCTCATACCCAACTGTATGCCCTCTAGCAGATGCACTTTAAAAATAAAGATACATCTAGGTTGAAAATAAAGGGATTTTAAAAAAGATGTCAATCAAACAGTAAGCATTAAAATGCTAGAGTGGCTTTACCAATAACAGATAATGTAGACCTCAAGACAAGAGTATTACCAAAGGAAAAGAGACATTGCATAATAATAAAAGGATCAAATCATTAGGAAAATCTAATTTAAGTATGTATATTAGTCATATACATGAAGCAATAATTGACAGAACTAAATACATAGCCTGGTCTACAGTCATAGTTGGATATTTTAAAATACTTCTCTCAACAGACACAGCATCATTAAGAATGTGGTATAACTTAGAGTGCCTGGGTATCTCAGTTGGTAAAGTAGCTGCCTTCAGCTCAGGTCATGTTCCTAAGGTCCTGGGATTGAGCCCTGTTTCAGGCTCCCTGCTCACTGGGGAGACTCCTTCTCCTTTTCCCTCTGCCTGCCACTCGGTTTACTTGTGCACGCTCTCGCTCTTTCTCTCTGTGTGTCAAATAAACAAATAAAATCTTTAAAAAAAGAGAATGTGGTGTAACTTAAGATCATAATCCATCTTGATCTAATGGACGTTTTCAGAGTGCTGAACTTAAAACTGGTAGAATA